CAGTAGCGATTGGTATAGATTGTTGTTCCCCCATAAAATAATTAAAGAGTAAAATTTCAAAGTTAAATTTTTAAAACATGCTTCTGAAAAAAAAATCTAAACAAAACCAAAAAATCGAAAGACCTTTTTTTGAAGTAAATGAAAATTAGTTTTGTTTTAATTTATGACTGAATGTTTTTAGTGATATCATTGGGTTTCATTTTTTCATCAGTTGTTTCTGTTCTTGAATTTAACGTATTTAGTTCTATTGATGAAGTCGTTGAGTCTTGGGAAGATGAAATTGACTTCATTTGGACTTCATTAAGATGACATTTTAAACAAATATGTTGTTGACCTTTTTCAATAAAATCTCCTTCAATTGGCTTATTACAAAGAGAACAAATAAAACATTGAGGATGCCAAAATTTACCATCAACTCGTGCAATTTTTCCTGTTATAATTTTTCCACATTTTTGACACGTTTCATTGACACTACGATTTTGGTAACAATCAACACAACATAATTCATGGTTTTTAATTAAATATCCATCTAATCTACACCCACACACTGAACACCTAAAACAACCTTTATGAACATACACCGTTTTATTTTCAATAACAACACTTGGAGTTTGTTCAGTACTTTTCCCACATATAAAGCATTCCATTATTTTCCAAATCTATTAATTCATTTCCTTTTTTTTTATTTAACTTTTTTATAATAAATGTTTCTATTAAAATAAAATTAAGTTTTTTATTATCTAATTTCTTTTATTTTCCAATTACTTTAGCTACTAATATTTTAATATGTGGTGAAGCAGCTTCATAAATGCATTCTTTCTTTAATTTAGCAGAAATATCCATTGCTTTCTTTTTTTCTAATTTTTCTTTTTGTTCTACTTCTGGTAATTTAGTATTAAGCCTTTGACAAACATCAACTAAATACATTTTTATTTCAGGAAGTTTTTGAATAAGACAAAGAAATACCTTAGTTCCTTCAGTTAAGATTTTTATTTCCATAAAATTTCTTAAGACTTCTGATATTCTTTCAATAGTAGATTTTATCATATTAGGATTATTATATAGTTTGAATGAACAATTATCACGAATTAAAAAGTGAAGCATCATGCATGATTTTTCTACTAACTCAAGATAAGGTGGAGATTTATTACTGCTTTTTAATAAATCAAGGATATGATAAACACATTGATATTTTACAAACATGACTCTAAACCATTCACTACATCTAATTTGTTCAAATAATTGTTTTGCTCCAATTTGTACTTCTTCTAATTTTTTTCTTTCGATCATTCTAATATTAGAAAATGCAATATCAATAATACTTCTTTCAGATTTTCTAATATATTCATATAATATACGTTTGTTATACTCTAATCTATTAAATGACATTCTTGTAGTTTTGTTTAAATAAATTGAATTCATAATAATTTCTTTTGGTAATATTCTTTGTGAAGGTGATTGTAATATTTTACTCGGTGATTCAGATATTCTTTTTTGTTTCTTTTGTTTTTCATTAAGAGATACTGAACTATGAATTAAAGTATATAATTCACACGAGTATGACAGAGATTGCATGATTTCTTCATCTAAATTAACTCCATATTTTACAATAACTTGTCTACAAATCCCCTGTAAAGGAATACAGTACTTAGTGAGACATCTTTTATATTCACAGTCTTGATACCATTTACTTAATTCATATCCTTTATCTTTTTTAACAATAACACTTCTCATTATTCCTTGTATTTCACTACAGTAATATTCTCTTTCTTCTTGTTCGTGTTTTTGCATAACTTTTCTCCAATAACTTTGAACAATTTCATTTGCTCGGATAAGTTGGATATATTCTTTTCTTTTTAACGTTTCTTTTCCACATCTTTGACATTGAATAATACTATTTCTTTGTTTATTATATTCTCTTTGTTTTATTTCACATCTCCAAATAAGTTCAACATTTTTACAAGATAGTTGATTTTCTTTAAATGATGGAATATTAATTTTTCTCATAATTGCTTGTACATTAATACACTGTCTTTTTATTTCTTCAAAATAGTGATGTTGTTGTATATATTTAATTCCATTAATTATATCTTTCATTTTATTTGTATAAACGACTTCTTTACAAATACTTTGTGGTTCTTTTATATTTTCAACAACCTGAAGGTATTTGTGTAAAGTTTTATTCCCTTTAATAACAGCTTGAACTTCTTCGGCCATTTTAACTCTTATCATAAATTCTAAAGTGATAGAATATGTTTTGATAAATGCACTCATCTCTTTAGATGCCTGCTCTATTTCTTTAAATATTCTGCTTTTAGTAATTCTTTTCATTTCACTTTGAACTAAACTAGTTTGAATGTTGATACAATCAAATTGTTCCTTAAAAATTCTTCTTCTACATAATCCTTGGACTATTTGGCATTGTTCTTGAAGATGTGAATATTCTAAATGGTCTCTCTTTTTTCGTAACATGGAACAAATAATTTGTTCAGAAGTAATAATTTCTTGATACTTATTGTGTTTTATTGCTCTTCTACTTTCTTTTTGGACATCAATATTACTTTGAATTATTACAGAATAATTGTGATACTCCTTAATTCCTCTAAATATTCCTTCTAAAGGAATACAACTATTGATTCGTTCTTTCATCTGTTTAGTTTGAATTAAACTTCTATAATAACTTTGCACAAATGGACATACTCGTTTTATAAATCCATATTCAGAAGAATGTAATATTTGTTTTAATGCGTCTGCTACATTAGCAGATGATTGGCAAATTTCTTCATATCTTGTACAATAAACAATTCTTTTTGCATGTTTTTGTGTCTCAATACAACTATTAATAATTCCTTCATAATTCATGAACGAATGATTTCTTCTCAAAATACTTTGAACTAATTTATTGCTGTTAACTTGTTTGTTAAACTCTCTTTTATAAATTTCTTCTTTAAACACTGTTTCAAATGATTTAGTTCCTTCAATAATTCTTGTATATTTCATTTCATCAACATAACGCCTAATTTCTTTTTGAGTTGTTTTATTACTTTCTATTTGTTCTTTCCAATTTTGACTTTTTTCCATTTCTCTACCATTTGATTGGGTAGTTAAACAACTTTCTAAGATTTCATTATAATACACTTTAGTGTTCATTGCTTTATAAATACTTTGTATTTCTCGTATTTCTTTTTTTAATTTGTTATTTTCGTTTTGAATAACGTATTGTCTACAAATGCTTTGTACTTCTTTAACACAGCTCCAAATCCCTTTCATTTGTTTCTGTAATAATAATTTTTTCATGATACATTGAACTTCTTCCGTGTGTTTAATTTCTTCATCATACAACACCTTAATGTGATTTTGCTGAACCAAATTAGTTCCTATCATAATTTGATTATAAAAATATTCATCTTCTTTTCCTTTTATAATATTAATAGTATTGAATATGGATGAAATAAATAACATTCCTTTCTTCATTTTTTTTCTTTCAACACATTTTTTTAATGCATTTCCAATTGAGTTAGCAGCACAATCAATTATCGCATTCTTTTGAATAAAATAAAACAAAAATGAGAGAATATAATTAATAACAGTTTTATCTCCATAATTGTTTATTTTATCTGTAAATATTCGTTTAGGAATATTAAGAATTTCTAAACCAGGTTGCATTGCTTTTATAATTTCAATTCTTCTTTTTTCCCCATCTCCTTTATGTGATAAAGGAGGAATTGATAAATGACTATAATAACATACAATATAAAGATATGGTAAGAAATATTCAAATTCATTATAAGTAAACACCTTATTGTAACAATTGCCAATAACACTAACCCATGCTTCGTACATATCATTTGATGAATTTAAAGAAATTTTAGTTTCACCTATCCTACTAATTTCATTACATACAACATGAATTGGAATGACTAATTGACATTGAAATACACGAAGAAATTCAAATAAAAATAATGAAACTACACCATCTTCTCTTTCATATATAGAGTAATCATAAAATGCAATTTCTCCAATTTTAAATGGCATTCCAAGTGTATTTAAGAATCCAACTAAATGATTAATATTTGAAGTAGCTTGTCTTCGAGTTAATAATTGATCATTATCAAGAACTAGAGAATTGATAATGTTTGATGTTATACCTAATCTCTGATCAGCAAGATACGTTGCTAGTACACTCAATTGAATTCCACTTGAAATAAAATCGTCTAAATCATTTAACTTATATTGAATGCAATATTGGGGATATTGTACTTGTGTCAAAGAATAACCAAAATTGCATAAAGTATCATAAACATGTAATGGAGTTTCAAATGCTAATTCAATTGTTTGTTTTACTATTTCAATACTACTAACAAATTTTGTTGTGCTTCTGAATAATCGTACATTTCCAATAATCATATTTTTCCTCATTAAATCAAGAACCATCATATATTTTAACACAAAAATTACCCCATAATAACATTTTCTTTCAGTAAAATCATATAACTTAAAAAGTTGGAGATATAAACTTTTAACATTTCCCAATGGATGTTCAATAAATTGAAAATAAGACTTATTATAATGAACAAATAGTCTTAATACGTCTTGACGATGTGTCTCTCCATATCTATCAACTAATATTGATTTTAATCGGAATCGTTTTTCTAATACAGGAAGAACGTGCTCCATAATACTATCAACTTGTTTTTCATAGTTTTTAACAATTGCTTTAATATTCTCATTATCTGAAAGAGTAGCTGGATCAACCTCTTTCTTGTGATACAAATTATCAATTTCTTTCAACAAAGTTTTTTTTAGAATAGTTTCTTCATTTAAATCTGACAAGGAAGTAGGTTTGTCTTTTACTTCTGTCATAATAATCAAATTTTTCAGATTTTTACTTTTAATTTTTTATTCTCAAAATATCAAAAAAAAAAAATGATTTATGTTATATAAAACGTTTATATTCAATAGAATGATAAACATCAAAAAAAAAAGTAAAGGAAAAAAATTTAGGTTGTTTTACAACTTTGTTCAATAACATAGTCAATGGTTTTCTGAGCTTTGATAATACCGAAGTGGTCATATTTCCCTATATTGATACTCTCTTCTAAATTCATTGTTTTACAAAAAGATAGTGAGTTTAAAGGAACAGTACCATCTCCATCACCAAAAGTTTGAATAGGTTGATTGTCAAAAGAAGTAGAATAGTTCAGTAAGACTTCTGTTTCAATTCCAGAAGAATAGAGACAATATAATTTAACTTTAGGAGTCCAGTTTATTGGATATCTGTTCATAGCATTTGTATAAATAAAAGAAGCATAATCCTTTGTTTCATTTATAAGATTTAGTATTTGATTCATTTGAGAAGCTGAGTATGATGTTCCATTAAAGATAAGAATAGTGTCATTCCACCATTGATAATTTGGCATTAATTGATAAACACTATCTATATTTCTTTCAAAATTTCTAAATGATAATGGATTAACTGGAATACCTTCTGTTTCTCCTGATAAAAAAGACCTTAGTGCTTTTATTGTTCCAATGAATGGAGCTGAGATAGTAATAATCTTTTCAATATATTTCTCACAAAAAGAATCACCTAGTTGGAAAAGTAGTTGCAAAGCCATTGGACCACCCAAACTATGTGTAACAATCATAACTTTTTTGTTGTTAAGAATATAAGCTGATTCAATGACTTCTTTCACTTTTTTTGACCAATTGTTATAATTAACATCAGCATATCTCCAATCATATCCAAGTCCAAATAATGATTTTTTGTCTTTATAACCAATTCTTTTAAGTTGTTGAATCATTTTATACCAAACTCGTAATACTCTTTGGACAATTGGCTCTTCTTTTGGTCCTAATGAAGAAATACCTTCAATAGATGGAAAGTCTTTGTAATATATTTGAACACCATCAAGTGATTCAAAGTGTTTATTTGAATTATTCCAAAATGGAGTAAAATATTTAAAGAAACATTGAGTATTATTTAATGGAATTCCATCTTTTAAATTCAACCAAATTTGTCCTTCTAATTGATGAGGACAATGAGAAGGTAATTGAATTGATGACGGGATATTAGATTTAATATGAAGAGAAGAAGACATGAAAGCAGGAACAAAAACAATAGGAAATCTAGATGAGCAAGCAATAGTAAAATCAAACCATATAAATATAAAGAGTAATATCAACATAGAATGATAAGAGATTAACTTTTTGATGTTATTTAAAAAGGTAAGAAAGTGATAAAATATAAAAGAGTGAATGATAATAAAAAAAAAGGAATAAAATTATTATAAATAAGAATGATAATGATATAATGATGATATAAAACAATAAATTATGACTTTTCTTCAATTTTTTGATATTCACTGAAAGAAATCATTGTTTTTTTCTTTCCATGTTTTTCAAATATCTGTATATCTTCTTCAAATACATCTTTTATTTTTTGAGTAGTTACATTAATGTCTAAGTCTTGATGTTGTTCACTAGAGTCAATTAATTTGGTTAGTTGTGGATTAATAATGTTAAATAATGGTCTTTCATGATAGTCATTATTCCAGCATTGTTCGAGTAAATTTTGTAATTCTTGTGGCATAGGTAATTTCAATTCTGGACGTTTTCCAGCTATTATAGAAGATTTAATGTCATATGTTGTTTTTAAATCACTAAATGCATGAATTCCATAAAACAATTCCCAAAATACAATAGAGAAAGAAAATACATCACTTTCAGGAACAAAGACATTATTATATAATTCTGGAGCATCATATTTTGGATTTCCAATAAAATAACCAAAATTTTCCATTTCTTCACTTAGTTCTTTTGTTACACGATAATCAGTAATTAATGCAACTGTATTTGTTGTATCAAAAAGAGAATTAAGAATAATGTTTGATGGTTTAAGGTTATTATGAAGTAGTTTTGATTCATGAAGATAATGTAAACCACATTCAACATCTCTCATTATTTTTAATTTTAATTTATAAGGTAATACAATATTACTTTTTTCATAATACATACATAAATCTAAACTTCTAAGAGGATAAAGTGCATTAATAATAGATATTGACTCTTCACTCATAATATATCCAATTGTTGATACAACATAAGGAGATCTAATATTCTTCAATAATGATGTAGAACGTTGAAATAATGCTTTTAATTTTTGTCTTTGTTCAAGTTGATAAGAATCTAAATTTATTTGTTTAATACAAACAAGAATATTATGATATAGCCCAAGGTGTCTTCTCTTTGATCCTTCAATTATTCCCTGATTTATTAATAATTCGTCTTGGTCAATTATAAGTGATGTTTCAATTTCACCTTTTATAATAAGATTACAATAACTAGATTTCATTTGATTTACCATTTCAGAATATAATTTAAATTCTTTTTCATCTAAACTATGTTTATTTTTAATAAATTCTTCAAAATGAGAAAGAATTTCTTTATTATTAAACTGATAACAACTAACAATAAGATTGTAATTTTCAATAGTTGTAGTACAATGAGCAGTAAAAAATAAAATAATTTTTTGTTTAGCTTTTGGAAGAATAATTTTAGTTTGAGGATATGAATAAAAGGTAAATTTGTTAGTATCAGGAATATGAACAATAAATAACATAAATTCATTTGAAGTATTATTTAAAATAAATGTTTCATATCTTGTGTCTTCTAACTTAATATTTTTATTTTTTAATCCAAATGTAATTATTATATGGTCAAAATGAAAAGAAGAGTTATTACCATCTTTTTGTTCTTTTAATAATGTTTTATTAATATAATAATATGGTTGTTTTTCTTTAAATGGAATATCAGATAATCTTGTATAACTATTTCTAGCAAAGACAAGTATTAAAATGCTACATAAAATAATTATAATAGCTAATAATAAAATTATACCTCCAACTATAATTGATATTAATTCAGTCATTGAAATTGCTTTATGAACACAATGAGTTAAATCATTAATGTCTTGTTCATAACCTTCTTCACATGTACAAAATTTTGTACAATATCCCTTTTCATCACATTCTTCTCCATTATCATAAATACCATTTCCACATAAATCACTCACACAATACCCTTCAATTAATGAATATCCTTTTTCACATTCACAGGTAGGAAGACAATGAGAAGATCCTCTCTCACAAAATGTTATATTTTCATTATAACTTTCATTTCTTTTATAATTCCAACATTCTTGAGTTACACAATAGAATTGATCTGCAATTGTATTATTTTGACATTCACAATAAGTATCACAATTTTCAACTCCATATTTACACTTTCCATTAGTATCAGATATAGTCCATTTTTCTTTTGAATAACATAATAAATGACAATCATCTCCTCCATACCTCTCATCAGTACAAATACATTGAGAAAGAATTGTACTACATTGACCCCCTCCAATATTTTGATTACAACCATTTGGACAAATATATTTCATAACTAAGGTAGTTTTCATAAAAACATCTGTTGTAAATAATGAAAACCATCTAAGTTCTTCATGTTCATCAACAGAAAATATATTTCCATGTTGTCCATTTAACGACCATATATCTCTTCTTGTTCTGAATCCTTCAATACAATTACATGGACCAAATTTTGATTCACAACGAGAATGTTCAAAAATTTGACCATCTCCATTTGTACTTTCTAATGATAATCTCATTCCTTGTTTGACTTTTCCTTTTAAATGAAGTCTAATCATTTTTAATGCCATTGGAATACTTGAACAAACAGAATAATCATAAGTTCCTATAGATGAAAAATCAACTGTATGAGACATAATTTCTCCCTCATAATTATTAATATCAATTTCTTGTACTTGATAGTATGGACTAATTATTTCATTATCTACAATTGAAACAGTTAAAGTACAATCAACTCCTCTCTTCATTCCAACAAAAAGATAATAATGTCCTCCTTCTTGTGGAACTCTTAATGAAATAAACCCAGTTGTTTTTGATGTTCCAAGAACATAAAGAGCAAAACATTTAGGTGAGTCAGTTAACTTATTTGGATCAAATTCATCAGTGGTAATTTCAATTCTAAAATTAACTGATGGAGTATCACTTTTAACAAGAACATTAAGATAATTTTGTGTTGTAGTACTTTTAGGAATAGTATAATGAAAGTATTTACCATATTTATATCTATTATTTGTGTCTTTATTCTCACAAATCCCAAATGCAGGAATCATAGTATTTGTAATTTTAAATTGAACTTCTTTGTTTTTAATTAATTCTTCTGCCCCTCTTGGGTCCCAATATCTCTTAACATTTTCTGTATTCACTTGAAGACATTCAGAATTAAACATCATATAAAGAGGGTTTGATTCTGAAAAAGCTTGAAAAGGATTAACAATCATACAATTAAAACAACTTGTTGTTTGTTCATAACCATCTTTACATTTCTCACATAACTCATCTCCAATACAATTAATACATCCTGAACCACTACAATTGAATGTTACCCCATTTTTAATGAATAACAATAAAATAATCAAGGGGTTCATTAAATTTTAATGGGATAATGAATATAAAGTTCGTAATTTTGAAATAATTTCATAACCTCATGTATTTTATAAAATCGTTAAATATGGTCAGAAAAAATTATAGACAAAAATGTTTTGACATTTTTCTTAAACTACAAACCGATTTCAGATATTAAAAAAAAAATTCCTATTATAACACATAAATCGTTAATATTTTTTTAATTCTCTTTTTAAAAAAAAATTAAGGAAAGTAATTCTTTATGTTGAATATCTGGTAGTACTAAACTATTTGCAATTTAAGTAAAAAAAAGGTTACTCATTATGAATCTATGAAAATACGACGAAATTAATTTGGATTAAAAGTTTATAAAAGTTTAACAACAAAATGGGTGAATTTAAAAAAAAAATTATCACTATTCCTAATTTATGAGATTTGGTTTCATTTTTTTTTAGAATTTATATTCTTTTTATAGCACAAATTTCATATGACATAATCAAGTATTATGAAAATCGAATAATCAACGGTGTTTGTTATTGAAAATAGAAGAATGAAAGAAAATTCAATTCGATAATCTAAAAATAATGAGAAATAAACGAAAAAACATTTTAAAAAATAGAATAACAAAAAAAAACAAATTATAAAAGGCATACTTACAATAAAATTAAAACCACTATGAATAAAACATTTGATCTCGTAACTGATTTAATGTATTAATATGGTAGTTGTTTGTTTCAATTCCATAAATAACTGAAACTCCACTATAAGGATTTCCTATATATGGAGTAATACAATTTACAAGAAGACTATTTGTATGGTTAATTTGGTTTTGAAGAGTTCTTATAGACGCAAGGATTTCATACTTATAGTCAATAGCTTGAATATGGCTTTTAGCTTGTTTTAAAGGTTCTTTTTTTCTTTCTTCTTTCTTTACATACAGATTAATATCTTTAGAAGTTAAACTATCTGACTGTTGTTTAGAATGGTCTTTTAATTTATAATATCCTCTATTATGACATACATCCTTACCAGATTCAATTAAGTTACAATGATTAAATGCATCTAATAATGCTTTTCTCCAATTGGGTGTTTTAAATTGTTTTAATTTAGATAGAATGGGCCAATGGTTTGTAATAAATTCTTTAATATCATTTTTTAATGAAAAGAATTCATTCTCTGGTTTTAATAATTTAAGTGATTTTAAAATCATCACACATAATTTAGTGGTTTTCATCTTTAAATCTTGTCCTTCTGATATTTCACTTTTTTGACATAAAAGACAATGGCAAGGAACAGGTCCTTTAACTGATGAATTTCCATCAATATTTTCTAGTGAATACATTTCTGAAGAACCAATATGGAATAAGTTTATTATAGTTCCATTTTCAATCCAAGTTATATTTTTTTGGTTAACTTCATAATAATCCTACAAAAACCACCTGATTATTTCATTATTTTATCTAATATGTTTCATTGTTTTACGTCTCTTTTATTTTTTAAATCTCCGTTAAAAAGCCATTCCAAATATTCTCCCAATTATTCATATTGTCTAAATCCATATTCTTTTATCTGAACTAACGTCACTTTTTCCTAAATTATAGCTTTTTGAGTTTTCATTTTTGTTTTGTATATGTGAATAATGATCCACTCCTTCGGAAGTTTAATTTCTTTTTTCTTCTCTCACAAGATACAGAAGCTTCTTATGCTTCATTATTAACCAAATTATTGAAAGATAGATGACGAGTTATTTGTTTCTGTTGTTGAGACAGTTTATTGTAATGAGTGGTATTTTATTTGCTTATATCATTTAACTACCATTACCACAACACCATTCCATCAGTGGGTTTTCTTTATCTCTTCAAATACAACAAAAACGAATGAATCAATAATATAAAAAAAAACAATAATTACACTTAAAAAATTATTAACATTATTCTTTGTTGATTGCACTCAATAAAACCAATCAAATGGACCAGATGATGGTGATCAACTATCAATCTGTCTTTTCTTGACAAATCCTCAGAACAACAAACTTAAATAATTGACAAACAACCTTTAATTAATTAACAACTATTACTACTTTTCTTTAAAATAATTACCCTCATGACTTTATCATTAGACATTATGATGGTTTCAATGATGCAACTTATATAACAAATAGTCTATGAAACTGAGTCATTTTCATTAATTGAATTTTTTTTCTGTTTTATCTTCTTAACTCCCATCCAATAAAAATTCATTTTATACCTTATTCTTGGTATTAAACAAAAAGAATAACTTTGGCTTTAGTCTAGTTAAAACAATTAACTGTTTAACTAAATATTTTTAATATATAAAATCATTAGAAACCTTTGTTAAAATGACTTTTGGTAATGTCTTGAAACAATACGTTGTTGGCGTCATCAACGCATAAAACTAATCAATTTATTTTTTTGTAAGCCATATTTCAAGTCTTAAAAAGAAGAATTTTTTATGACTTACAAATAAAGATATAATTTATTGTTTGTTCATAATGTTATCAATTTTCTAATCTCCATTTCTTGACCAGATTTATTCTATCCAACATTTATGTATTAACTAAATAGTTAAGGAAGGGAACATAAAAGTTTCAGCGAAACATTTGTTATTTGCTTTTAAAGTAACTTCTCTTTAATAAGTTAAATTATTAGAGTAAAAAGAATATGAATAAAATGATATTTTCTCTAAGAATGATGATAAGTCATTGTTGAACTAGTTAGTATTGATTCGTTAGATTATACAGTCATTACACTTATCTTTAAATGAAACGATAACATTAGTTGATTTTTAATTATTTTGATAGAGAAAGACATACGAAGTTTATCTACATTAAAAATAAGTTAGTGAATAATAATTTGAGTATTTTTAACAAATGAAATTATGTTTTTAAATGAGTCTTTAATACTATCATTGTGTATTGAGAAAAATGAGTATGTCATTATATCATAATTTGTGTAAACAATATTAAGTATATTCTATCAATTAAAAAATACTATAAAATAACATTTAACTGAATTAATAAATAAGAAGGATAATATTGATTTGTAATTAATTAGAGTTGAATAAATGTCAAGACATTCATAACAAAGTGATTGATATGAGAAGTAATATCAAATTAACCAGAACCAGCAATAAAACCTCCATTTATTATAACCAACATATAATAAATGAATAGAAATGATTATCAATAATAATAACATAAACAATTCAACATAAACAATATCTCTGACATTAACAATAAAATTATAGACAATGTTTTATTAATAAAATAATGGTTGTTGAATTACCACTTTTAGAAAATTTGAGTAAATAAAAGGATTGAGGTGATGATAAGAAGACAATCATAAAAAATTTATAATAATTTACTTTATGTTGTTATGATGTGTGTGAATGAGAGAAATAATAGGAAGAATAGTAATGAGCTTAAAAAAGATAAAAAAGGTAGGAAAAATTCAATA